CCCGCGCCCGCCGAGGGCGAGGGCCGCCCGGCCTCAAGGGGCTGGGGGCACCCGGCCGAGCAGATGGAGATCGGGCCGCTGCAGAGGATGGCGCGCGAGCCCGACGTCGAGCTCTTCAAGGGCTACCACAGCTACGCCGTCCGGACCTCCCCGGTCTCCCCCGCCCCGGACTATGAGGAGGAGCCGCTGCCGGAGCCCGAGCCGCCCTCCCCGGAGCCCCGGGGGGGTACCCCTGCCCCGCCGCAGGAGCGGGAGGAGAAGCCGGCGGCCAGGGCGGAGGCCAAGCCGGAGCCGCCCCGGCCCAAGGAGCTGAAGCAGCGGCCCAGCCCTGAGCACAGGGCGGCGGGCCGGGGCGAGCCCGCTGCCGACAGGAAGACTGAGGCCAGGGCACCGGGGCGGACGGAGCCCAAGGTGGGGGCCAAGCGGAGCCCGGCCCTGGCAGCGGCCCCGGCAGCGGCGGTGGCGGCAGCACAGGAGGCGGAGGAGTGCGAAGAGGTGACGTGGGGGCAGGCCGGGAGGCACCCCTGGCAGCCATCTTTGCCTTTTATTTTTGGTCTGCTTTTCGCCAGGAGGTCTGAAGGGGTCCAGGGGGATGCAGAGCCATGGCCTCGAGGCTGCAGCAGGCCAGAGTGGTGCCCGGAGGCTCTTTTCAGGATCCCAAAGCCTGCTGGAAGAGGGCCTTGGTTTTCCCTTCTCCTGCTGCCTTCCCAGCCTGCCCTGCCTCGGCTGCTGGGGCTGGTGTTCATAACCCTTTTATTTTAACTTCCTCTCTGCACCAGGGCAGATGTGCTTTCAGACATGTCCCCATTTCAAAATTTGAGGAAAATGGGCATCTTCTGATTCACTTTTTAGACTGTTCTCCCCTTCTTTTCCCACCCCTTTACCAGCCAACACGGATCTGGAAAACTGGGGGGAAAATGTAGGACAGGGAAGAAAAAGCTGAGTGGGGTTTCTTTTTCACTTGTTACTGTTACTTTCTGCAGTAGTGGCACCTCATGAGCTGAACTGTGGTATCAAATCACCAGCTGATTTCCCAGGTTTAAAATACAGTCACTGAAATTCAATTTTGCTGTTAGCAAATACAGCTGTAAAACCAGACATTTTATTAGCCCGCTGCTTCTCATCTTGCAGCCCTTTGGACATGAATGGTTCCAACACGACTTAAGAAAAGCACAGCCTGGAAATATTTTGGTCTGAAATTAGAGCAATCTCATAAAGATGCATTTGTTCATCTTAAAAATGGCAGCTTTACAAACGTGGGCAATATGGGTGGAGAAATGAGATGGGAGGAGCAGCTCGACATAGGCTTGGCAGTTTGTGTGCCTGTGGTCAGGGTCTCCTTTAATCTGCTTTAGCCTCAGAAGAAACCTGATTTAGCCTCCTTAGGAGTCTGCAGGGGAGAAATAGGAATAGGGATTGATAGATAATCAACTAGTTTGAAATTCAAGCTGGTTGTTAAGTGCCAGATTTATGTGCGTTGGGAGGGGATGATTCTGGTGGTTTTGAATAGCAGAATCAAGCTGTATCTATCTCCTCGCCTGGAACTGCCATGTGTAACACTCTGTTCTGGGTTTTTCCTTCAGGGACCTAACACAATCGTGATCTGCATGGTCATCTTATTGAACATTGGTCTGGCCATCCTATTTGTACATTTTTTGACATGATGTGCCCCTCGGACAAGGTAAGAGAAGCAACAAGATTTTATCCTCATTTTGTAGACTTCACTGTGGACATTTTAGGGTTGGTTGGCTTTACTGCCAAAGTAAATCATTCACTAGTGGATGCCCTGGTGATGAAAACGCATGGGGATTTATTCAATAGATGTAGTTGCCTTTCATTGAGTGTTGAGATTCTCAGTAACCCCTTGTCCGTTCAAAGAGTGGTCTGTGGAGTAATTTCAGTGGATAGTTCTCTAGTCTTTTCATAAAATCATTTCCTCAAAGTTAAAAAATTGAACTGTGTTTATTGGATGCAATGCCACAGTATACTTTTGCCTTCCCAGCTGGATGGACATGATTCGTGGAGACTTCCAGTGCAAGAATGTGTGATGTTAAATTTGAAATTTGTTTTCTGCAAATAATCTGCAAGAAACACTTTCAATTTGCTGTTCTGCAGCCACGGCTGCCAGGTATCTTGTGCGTTGCAATATTTCTTGGCATTCAGCCCAGCAAAGAGGCAGGAACACAAAGCAAATGTGAAACTCTGAAGTTTGCAGCTCTAATTGTACCAGTGCTAGTTCTGCCACTGTTGTTATGTAGTTGGTGTTACCAAAGGTAAATATGAGCTGAGATGTGTATCTGACTAAGGTTAAACTGGAGCTCCCCCAGGTCTTCCACTTGAATTGGGATGCGGGTCTGCATTTGGATTTGGTGGCAATAAAACCTTGTGAGGTTACTTGTGCCTCTGGGGTTCCTGCACACAGGAATACATCATGGGTTTGCACAAGATTTCTGTTGCTTTGGGCTCAAATATTGCAAAAAAAATCCCATCAAGGCTGAACCTGACCCTTAAGCCTCACATGAACATAATGCGAGGGGTGCCTCCCAAGCCCCCGTGAGGGTATGGGGCTGCCTTCCTGGGGCCTCCTGGGGATTAAAACTGTTCTGCTGGGCACTGCTTTCTGTGATGTTATTAGTCCCCACTCAGCCTGCAGAGCTGAAAGTCTTGCAAACAGCCATGATCTTGTGTCAGTTGTGTGTTTTGCTCCCCCTTGACTCTCCTATTCGTCTGTGTCTGGGACAGGCATTGCTGCTGATGGAGGCCACAGACCTTGGTGGGGATTAAATCTCAGCCACCTGGAAACACCTAAGAGGAGGACTTGAGATCCCAAGGTTGCACTGCAAACATCAACCTTAAATGAAAGCGCCTGAAGAGCAGTTCAGTCTCCCTGGTCCCAGGCTGCGGCTGGCCTCTGCAATCTACCAAGGAAAAGCCAGGGTTTCTGCAATTCAGCCTCCTTGTCTTCTGTGTATAAACTAGCAGTTGCCTTAAATTGTTCTCACCAAAGCCATCAACTTTCCTGTCATGCCAGGGATGAGGAATTTATCTGTAGCTGTAGGAAAACAAGTGAGGTCTCATGCGTGCACACTGATGTGTTTTGTAACTCCCTTGGTTGACTCAGTGTCAGAGATTTCCCAAAGAATATCATCCATGCGTGGAGATGAAACAATACACAGCAACCAAAAGACTCACGAGAGCTGCGCCACGGCTAGGGGCGGACAATGTCGCCCTCCACGCTTGGAAGTCATCCAAATGGACAAACAAAACGTCTTTCCTTTCCCTGTCGCCTGGAGTCTTTTTCCATGTATGGAGGACTGAGAGGGGGAGCAAGTTGAAATTGGGCTTATCGAAGTGTAACCAGAGTCCTGCCCATGCCTGCCGAAGTGCCACGGATGGGGGCTGTGGGGTGGGGTGCGAGGGACTGGCTGATCCGAGGCTGTTTGTGCATGTGGGGAGTGCTGCAGGTGGAGATGGTGCCCGTTTCGGGACCAGGTGCCGTCCAAGTGCTCTCCAGCCACCAGCAATACTCTGCACAGAGGCGTCTTGCAGTGGGAGACTTCTCACTGTAACAGGAAGGGAAATAGGTGTGCTGAATTTGTCTCTTTACCCCTTTTTTCTATGAAAATGTTGTGACTTAAAATGAAAAGGAGGTACTTACTGAAAAACACCACCATACACCTGCATGTTCCTCCCCTTGGCACGCTGGGCTGCAGCAGGGCTCCTGGGCTCTCTCATTGCAACAGAGTGAACAAACTTTCAACCAGAGGATGCAGGGTGGCTCTTGTGGGAGAGGTTACGTTATTCCTGAAAGAAAAAAAGGTGCAGAGACCCGAGTGACTCCAGTGTATTTGGGTGTTAGGCTCAAAAATACACAGCAGCCAGACTTTCAGTGGTGGTAGAGCGCAGTGGGGCAATTCTAGCTGTTCTTGTGTGCGAGGCTTAGAGGCCTGGGCCGTTTGCACCGATTCTTCCCAAAGCTGCAACAGAGAGTGACCTTTGGAAGGAGATGTTTCCACCATGATCTGCTCCAATCCTTAGCAGTGCGAGCTTAGAAAGTCAGCACAGATGAAGTTACAGTTTAGTGTGAAGCTGAGTGCTTGGACATGTTTCTTCCTTCTTTTAAGAGTAATATGTATTTTCTATCCCTTTTTAAGATAATCAGAAATATTATTTATAGTCGGTTGTGCACCTCTGTGTATCCTGAAGTCCCACAGCACAGGACTGGGTGGGAAAACCTGAGGGACTGGAAAGAATGGAGAAATGATGGTTAAGGAAAAAAACAGATGCCCAGTCTGCTCCAAAGGTCAATCTGAAAGGATTTCAGAGATGGGGTGGCAGACAGGCAGGGGTTTACACTGACTGGCAATACAGGGCAAAACCTGCCTAATGTATCTGCTCTAATTATGGCACAAGAGAGTGAGAATAATTCAGTACTTTTCTTTGTGAACCAAGTTTATTTTTTAACCTTACTCAGCTCAGGAACGTTGCCACAGTAGCAAATACATGGTGTTAACTGTGGGAGAAGTGAATGTGATCCCTTCCTAAAAGCCATGTGGCTGTACCAGTCCTGAGAAAGCTGTGCAGCATCATCTACACTTCCACAGAGCATAGTTTAGTAGCAATTTGCCTCTTTCCTTTTTTTCTTAAGTATAAATGTATTGCAAACCCCAGGCTCTGCTGCCTTCGACACTTTATCTCCATTTGCTGGCACTCACTTGCCAGCTCTGCAGTTTCAATATGCCAACTGCTTTTATTAACCACCAAGACAATTTCCGTTGAGAGACCTGAGGGGCTTTTATTTATCACTAAGCACAAAAATGGATCTTTTTCAACAGTGCTAAGGTAATTCCCCCCCCGCCCCAATTTTTTATGCATGTGATGTGCACTCAGTAATGTGCTTTCCTCCTAGTAACCTTCTGAGAAAAGTAGGTAGATTTGCTTTTATGTGACATATAAATATATCCATATCACACTGAGATATGGAGATATATATATATATATAGCCCCTTAGGGATTTTGTTTTCTTAGATGCAAAAATAACGGATTTACCTCAAAATGCATGCTTTCAAAACTGACTAGGATATTGTGTTATACTTTTCAGGTCTTACAAAGATGCAGATATATTTCACTCTTCACACAAAAATACCTTCATCACAGATTTTGCAAGCTGTTTACTACAATCTGTGTACTACTGTCCAGAGTTTTCTGTCGGTTGTTCTGCTGGATTACGTGCAATAATAAACAGTTATCTGCTCACTGTACCCATGTGGATCTTTGCAGGGGAATCTCCAGGTTTCATTCCAGGTTGACACGTTCACTCCAGTCTTGAAGGAGAGTTCATCAACATGTGGCGCAGAATTTCCTAGGTGGCATCTGGATGGTTTTTAGCTTTTTCCCAGTATCTATTTCAAAATCTTGTATTTTTTGTTGATGGGGGGTACTTTGCGAAGAGAATTGTTTTCACTTACTGTTTTTTAAAAGTTTGGTGCCAGATGTTTGAGGACACCTACTGCTCTCTGCAAGCTCTGTGTGCCATCATCACGCTGGCCTCTGCCAGAGGTTTCATGGGGCCGGGAAGAAAGGCAGCTCACTGGCCCAAAGCCTGCCCGGGTGATGCAGACGGCTGCTGACAGGTCCCTTCACTGCCTCCTGACCCCAGGGCTGCTGCCAAGTTTCTTCCAAGCTGTGCGTCACTGCCGGCTCCTCCAGTACCACAGTCCTCCTGGGGCTGGGGAGGACTGATTCTCCTCCACCCATGGCCCGTCCTCTCACTCAGCCCCTTGAAATGATCAAAGTGAGAGGAAAGCCAGGCATGAGGGACAGGGAAATGGCATTCGGGGAAAGAGTGATTTACAGGGGAGGATGGGAGAGCAGAGCCCAGCGCCAGCCAGGGGCAGCAGGGCCCAGGGGCCCAAGGAATCCAGAGTAGTCAAAACCTTCAATCCCTTTTCTATTTCTGGAGTGTCTCACATGAGCAAAGCTGGGCTGTGCAGAGAGGCTGGCGGGACGCAGGCTCAGCCTCTGCAGACAGCAGGGCCTGCCCCGGCTTCTGTGGGTGCGAGGAGTCTTGTGGCAGAAGATTTTGTCCCCTAGTACAGACTTAAGGAGCTGAGTTTGGTGGAATGATGGCTTTACTCTCCTCTGGGCTTGTTTTGCTTCTGGTATGGGAGGAACCAGCAACATCTCATTCATCCCGTCTCTAGGAGGAGGCTGGGGGCAGTGGGGTAACCTGAGCCCTTTGCACCTCATAAATCTCAGGCTGATGAATGGAGCAGATCTTTGGCCCATGTGTGGCAGAGGCAGCAGGGAGGGAGGTGGGTCTGCTGCTACAGCAATGACGTATTGCTTCAAAAATATGAATAAAGGCAAACCAAAAGGCCTGCCCCTTCCCCAGGGTGGGGGGAGCAGCGCTGGGTCTCTGCTTCGGGAACTGCTGCTTTCACAGGTAACGTCCCCCGCACTGCTCCTGGCTGAGCGTTCCCGGGTGCGGGCAGGGAGGTGTCCGATATGTGAGAACCAGGATAAAGGCACTGGCCTGGTCCTGTGACCGAAGGGCAGCGGCCTTAGCCTCCACCGGTGGGAGGGAAGGTGCAATCTGAGCCCCCGTGTCCTTTGAGCATGACCTGCCGAGGCGTCCTGGGGACGGCCATGCTACCCTCCACCG